GCCCTTCGCTGCCAGTCAACTTGAGCCAGAAGCAGACTCGATTGGGCAGCTGGTGACCCTAGAACAGTGTTTGGTATACTCGAGTATGACCACGAAATTTGGTAGAGAACTGGCCAGTGAATACAATGCAATGATTGAAATGAACACTGAAGAAGTATTCACTGTTAAATGTTTTCAAATGATGGAGGACTAAGGGAAATGGTCGGCGACTGAATGACTGAATGAATGGCTCCAAGTGAGCACGTATCCTTCCAATGATTGAATGTTTATTTCTTGAATGACTGTTTATTACTGTTCAAAGTGTTCAAACTATTAAAAGTAATACTTCCATGTTTTATCTACTTAATTGCTTACTTAGAAACCTCTTTGAGCTTTTAGCTCATTCCTTTAGTTTTGTTTTCCTTACAGAAGTGGAGGCCAAAGCAATTAAGTGTGAACTAGAGTGTATAACCCTCTTATACTTATACTTTTGGTAGATAGAATGTATTTCGACATTTGATGTTGTATCATACATTTGATTTTTTGGTTGTAAATAAGTTTGAATTTTGGTTGAATTGTAGAACATCAGTGTTATTTTTGGAGGATCGCATGGTTAATCTTGAGAGTTGACTAAAGCGAATGAGTGAGTCCTGACAAGAGTTGGATAGGCGGTCCGCCAAACCCTTGAGTACGCTCTAGGGAAAGGTGGGGTCGTCACAGGTTCCACATTTATAATGACATTGGACTGATTCCCCTGATCTTCTTGAAGTTCTTCTTAAGGAAAGGGCCTTAGAGGAAAAGACACTATGGGGGTAAGTGCCCGTAGTATCTTGTGGGCATGACTTTTGATGATGAGTGAAAACTGGAGGGTGAGTTAGGGTGTGGCACTTTGAAATCAAGTGGATAGGAGTAATGTCTAAGCAAGAAGGGTAACTATTTCGTAATGTACCAAGACTAGGTATACATGTCATAGTATCTCGAGGTCCCAACTTGTGTGACATATTTCATTTAGCTAATTTGAGAAATTAAGTTTAGTTGTTCATGAATGGCTTGGAATCGAACGAACTTACGAGGTATATGGTTGTTTTATTAGTTACTCATTGAATACTTTAATTTGTTTGGCAAATTGTCATGTGAGATTAAGTGAATCCGTGAAATGATGCATTGGGAAGATATACTTGAGGAAATAGAGATTCTCTAGAAGAAAGTGGGTGAATACTAGAAGGATGATGGAACCAAGAGTGATACCAAAAGGAAACGCAAAGAAAATAGTGAAGATGAACTCGCTATAAATGATAGAGGAAGGAAAGAAAGAACAAAAAAATTTTGTAGCTGCTAAGAATGGACGCTCTGAAAATCCTCATACTGGAATGTGCGAGTTGAAAATTGGTGCCTTGTAGATGTAGCAACTTTGGACGTCATGTGAGAGATTGCCCAAAATAAATGAATTAAGCTTTGAGGAAACTGTTGCCTTAGCCGAATTTAGCCCTTCATGATGTTTTGTCTGGAAGAGTTGTATTTGTTGGACTATGTGTAGCGAAAGTCTTACGTAGTAAGTTGGATTCCAGTTATATACCTTGAACTTGAAACCTGATGATTGCATTAGTAATATTAAATGTCTATGTTCGGTTGGTGTTAAATCCCTATCCATGATTCAAGTTCTACAATTTATTCGTCGGTTTAATGAGGATTCTACATTTGTAATTAGTAAAGAAGGAATTTCGATTAGAGAGGGTGATACGTGGCTAGTAATTTAATTGTAAATATGAGAGGAGATGTTTATTGTGGTTTCTTTGTCAATGCATAGAATATGATTTCAGAATCTAACAAGAGTAGTTAAGTTTCGTAGTTATGGTACCGAGTTCTAAGTTATAGCATTCTGCACCTTTTGACACCTTCATTGACCTTCCTTAGTATGTTAATTTAGCTATTATATCAGTAAGAGTTTTCTTCCAGACAAGTTTGTGGTAGCACTACAAGTAAGGGGGAAGCCCTCTTTGGATCACCCTTTTTTCACAAATTGTTTTCATTTGTGAAATTTACAATAAAAAATTTCAAAATAACTCCAAAAACACATATTGCAAATGCAACTTACCTAAATACAAAAAAATCAAAAAATAAAATCTTACCACTTTTCCTTCTTCCATTTACCACCAACACCTACCACTGCCACCACCCTTACCCTCCTCCCTCCTCCACTAACACTACTGCCTTTCCCCCCTCCTCTCTCCTCCCTCCTTCATCTCCCTCCCCTCCCTTTCTTTCCTCTCCCCCCTCCCCTTCCCTTCTCTTCCCTCCCCTTCCTTTCCCCACCAAGCTGTGACATTCTAGTTACAGGTAGAAGCTACAACTTGGTAGCAATTTTTGGGACCTTTTGATTGCAGCCAAAGGCCACGATTGGTAGGGAGGAGAAGAGAGGAGGAGGAAAGGTGAAAGGGAGGAAGTGAAAGAGGGAGGAGGAAGGGGAAGGAAGATGGAGGGGAAAAGAGGGCAGAGAGTTGGCAGTGGCAGAGGGAGGAGGGGGTGGTGGGTAGTTTTTTTAATTTTTAAAATATACGCCATCAAATTTATAATTTTAAAAACATCCTAACAAATAATTACAATAAAAGTTTTTTAAATATAATGCTACAGTGTAGTATTTTAAAACACCTCCAAAATATCTAATCCATATGGAACCCATGTTTTCAATGCTAGAAATCAAGTGTCAATGACTAGCTACGTCTAAATTTCACCAATTCAATCCAAGAGCTTAGAGTTTGTCGTGTATATATATATATATGTATATATATATATATATATATATATAGACACACACTTCATCACAACCAACTCAAAACTATCACATATTAAATTTACTTCATGTATTAGCCTAGTTCTATATAGTTGAATTTTCAATTGTAATATTTACTCTCTAAAGGCACAAGTCTTGGTGAGATTTTCAAAGTATTTACTTGCTATTTATATGTATATTGCTCATCTTCTCTCTACCTCTTCTCTTCTCCAACTTCTCTCTACTTTTTCTTTTTCTTTCTCCTCAAAACCCTTTCCTTGTGGAGGGAGACCACACCATGATCTCCTTCCCATGAGTTTCATTTTGTTTTGTTTTCTTAATAAAGTATCTTTTAAGTTCTCTTAGTGTGAATTTTTTATTTCTCTAGGGATTCCTAGTGAGAATTTTCTATTCTCATAAGGATTCTTATGGAGCTTTTTTTTTCTTTTTTCTTATTTTATTGTTAGATTTGAATATATTTTAGATCTGGTTGTCAAATCTAAAATTCTTTAGATCTTGAATCTATTTTAACAGATCTCATCATTATTATTGGAACTTAAAACCACGAATTAGTAGATTTAGCAATTGTAACATGCACGAAAAGAAGTCGCAGTGATTTATATATTAGAAGGCAATTTTGAAATTTCTTATATTTTTCAGATCTATTAATAATGTTTCATATCTATTGTATCTATTAAATTGCAGATCTGTAAATTTCTAGTACATGTTTAATCTACCATTAGAGCAGTGATCATGTAAATCAAATCATGCTAAATGATTTTCAACAATCTGTTAATAAAAGTTGTTTTATATAAAAAAAAAAGTCTATGTTCATCGCATGAAATTACAAATTTTGAAGCTATGACATATTGGGGCTTAGAGGTTTGTATATGTGGACATACACTAAATAAGAATCTCGATTACTGGTAGATAAAATTAACTAATTAAAGGATGTTAATTCGTAATTCGTGCACTTATGTGATTTGCAAAACATGACTCCCGAGCACGCAAGTGCTCCCTCCATCCCACTTTAATAGTGCTGTTTCTTTTTTCACACAGTTTAAGAAAAAGTAGTTAACTTTGTTGGAAAAATAAATTTAGATTGCTATTTCCTAAAATGCCCTCACATTAAATATGGTACAACTCTATGGGAACTTTAATTGATGGTAAAAAAAGAATCAACTCTCATTTAATGGGTTAAGTTTATAGTAACAACTACTTACATTGAATAAGGGTATTTTAGAAAAATTAAAATACAACTACATTCTTCAATTAGAAAGTGAACTACAATTTGGGACAGATGAAAAAGAAATATAGGACTATCAAAGTGGGACGGAGGGAGTATTAGAGTTATGTTTGTGTATTGTTATTTCAGTTGAGACAGTATTCAATGCTCGCTATCTTCAAATGCTAAAATCCAATATTTTCATTTCCTTTAAGGAGAAAATGGCTAATTCGTATCTAAATTTTTCACCAAAGCCAATTTAGTTCCTAACTTTTATTTCTAGCTAATTTGATACATGAAATTATTTTGCAGTTTTAATTAAGGACCTCAGTAGTAGTGCCTCCACCTAAAATCGATCTGACTCCTAATTGACCAATAAGTAGAGGTATTTTAGGAACATCACTCATGGAAGTATAATAAATCAAGTAAATTGTGTAAAACATCACAAGATTAAACTTTAAAAAAGTTTTTTTGGGTGATTTTTACACGCTTTAAAATTTTTATTTGGTGATTTTACACAATTTACTTGTTTTATTACAATTCCATGAGTGACATTCCCATAATACCCCTGTTTAGTTAGTTAATTAGGAGTCAGATTGGTATTAAGTAGTAGTGCTACCGTGGAAGTCCTTAATTGGAACAACAAAATAAGTTCAAGTATCAAAATGGTTAGAAATAAAAGTTAAGGATTAAAATGACACCAATAAAAAGGTTTATGGGTGAAATTGCGCCATTTTCCCTTCATTAAAACATCCTGATATATATATATATATATATATATATATATATATATTTATATAAGTAAGGGTTTGCTGCTATTCAGTAGAAAACCTCTTTGCACGGCGCTCGTGTCGATCTCTTTGCACTAGGGTTTTGCGGTGGGTGTTGTCACACGGGTGGCCATGGCGGCCCTTCAGCCTCCTGCTGAAGGGCACTCTCCAGCCTTGGTACCCTTGTTCCAAGCAAAATCTTTCTCCTCACTTTTTTTCGTCTAAAGAGTCGGCTGCTTTGAACGTGCATGTGGATATGACGACGAAACGAGGTGAGCCTACAATTGTGTTCTCTTCGGCAGATCTGGCAAGGGCGGCGGCGCCTTTTCAGTGGGCTTTGGTGGGCAAATTTTCTCAAGGGCGGCCTACAATGGAAGAGCTCCGGAAGTTCTTCAAGACATTAGACCTAAAGGCTGAGTTTTCGGTGGGGCTGTTAGATCACCGACATGTTATCATCTGTCTGAATGCAGAACATGATTTCCACAGAATATGGGGACGGCACCTTTGGTACGTTTTAGGCTGTCCGATGCGGGTCTTTAAGTGGACAACTTCGTTTCATGTTCACAAAGAACCATCGCTTGTTCCAGTATGGTTTTCTCTGCCTAAACTTCCACTCCATCTCTTTCACAAGGAATGTTTATTCCACGTTGTTTCGCCGTTGGGGCGTCCGCTCTTCATGGATGCAGCAACGAGATCGCTGTCTCGTCCGAGCGTAGCGCGTGTTTGTGTGGAGGTCGACCTGGTGAAGCCTCTGCCGAGCCGAGTCTGGGTGGGTCTTGGGTCTGGGGAAGATGATGGTTTTTGGCAGGCTCTGGTTCCGGAGAAGCTGCCGCACTACTGCAGGTTCTGTTTTCGGCAAGGTCATGAGGAGTCGGCTTGCCGGGCAAAACACCCTGAGCATCGTGAGGCGGCGGCAGGGGGTAGGGTTATAGGTAGCTCTGGCAGTGGGCAGACAGTTAAGCGAACCTGGGAGCTTATTTCAAAGATACAACGCGAGGTGGTGGGTGCGCAATCAGCAGCGGCGACTCCATTGGTAGACGTGGGTGCTGTGGATGAGGGGCCATCCCTCCAGCCCGGGGGGGAAACAGCTCCTGGACATGGTGTTCCTGCGGTTTGGGAGGGCCAGCCAGCAGCGCAGGAGAACTCCTCAGGGGAGTTGGTAGTGCCACAGGCCATGGGTTTGGAGGCAGAGCAGCAGCGGCAATCTGCTGGCACCAGCTTGGTGCTTGTGGCTACTGGAGCCAGTGAGGCAGCAGGCCCTACGACCGTGAGCGGGCTGCCCACCCAGCAGGTGCAAGTGTTACCATCGGCTGATGGTTTGGTGGATGGAAAAGAGGACGCTGGACTTGGGACAGCAGCTGAAGAGGAGGACGAAGTGGTTTCCGATGGGCATCTGGATGAGGAGGACATTTCCATGGCTGAGCAAAGGGCTGGCAGCCTTTCGCCGCGAGGGCAACGGCTGTGTGCAGCTAGCTCCTTGGTGGTTGATATTTTTAATCTTGACCCAATAATTCAACAGGTTCAGGAGAAGGCGAATGGTGGGGATGATGTTCAGCTAGTGGTTCAACCGAAACGTAAGGGTGTTCGTTCTGTGGCTCCTACTGATCGTTCTCTATGCTCGAAGGCGAAGGTGTGCTCTAACTCTTTCTCTGCATTATCTGATGATTAGTTTTTTATTTTGGAATATTCAGGATATCTCGCGTATCCCAAATTTTCGTAGGTTAAAAAGGTTAATTTCTGAGTTCTCGATTCAATTAGTGGCTATTTGTGAGCCTAAGGTTTCGACATGTGACATTCAAATGCTTTGTGCTCATCTCAAGATGGAAGGTTGGATGGTCAATAGGGAGGGGTCTATCTGGATTTTCAATCAAAACGGTTTCCAATGTGCTCCTATTGGGGAATCTCCTCAACACCTGTCCCTTAAAATTTCACCCCAGGCACTATCGGCTCCTGTTTATTTGTCCTTCGTCCATGCAAGATGTACTGAGCAAGACCGGGTTCCGTTGTGGTCAGCTCTGTTAGCGGATAAACCAAGGGATGATCCATGGTTGGTGGTAGGGGATTTTAACACCATTGTTAGTACAGAAGAGAAGCGCGGAGGGCTGCCTTTTCGGGTAGATGAAGGTGTGGAACTAAGTTCATTTATGTCCAGGGCTGGAGTTTTTGATGCAGGTTTTTCAGGGTCACGTTTCACATGATGTAACAATAGGGGTGGGCGCGCTCGAATTTGGAAGCGATTAGATAGACTGCCTTGTAGCCCGACTGCGGCTCGCCTGGGGGTGAATTTTGGAGTTAGGCACCTTGGCAGAGATCCCTTCGATCATGCCCCCCTTTTGCTGTCAGCTTCAACTAGACTTGATAACAAGCCGAGGCCTTTCCGTTTCCTAAATGTTTGGACCTCGAAAGTAGAGTTGTTAGATGTCATTCGGTTGAGTTGGATAAGCCATTGCCCAGGACGCCCGTTGCAGCGGTTGGCGGCCAAATTACGATTCACTAAACATGCAATCCAACAGTGGTCGCGGGACCATTTTGGTAATATATTTGACGTAGTGAAGCAGGCAGAAGAGGCTGTAGGGGCGGCGGAGGCTGCACTTTATAGCATCCCAACACAACAACAATGGTTAGCACTCCAGGAGGCAAGGACAGTATTGCGGAACTCCCTGGCCATGGAAGAAGCATATTAGAAGCAGAAAGCAAGAATCAAGTGGCTTAAGGACGGGGATAAGAACTCAAGGTTCTTTCATGCGGTAGTGGCGGAGAGAAAGGCTAAATCTGTTATACATCGGATTCGGAGTAGAACGGGAGAGTGGCTGACCGATGAAGCTCATATTTCGGCAGAGGCGGTGGATTATTTCACATCCTTATTTTCGACTGAAGATTGTACGGGGTCATGGAGTACCTTGGAGGTCATCCCCAATATTATCTCAAGGGAACAAAACGCCGAGTTGGAGCGCATCCCTTCAATGGAAGAGATAAAAGAGGTTGTATTCGCAATGGATGGTGAGAGTGCGGTGGGCCCTGATGGATTCACGGGTAAATTCTTTACATTCGCATGGGGCGTAGTGGGGCATGATGTTGTTGAGGCTGTTGTGAGCTTCTTCTGCGGTCATGAGTTGCCGAGGAGCATTACGGCGACTTCGATCGTCCTCCTGCCGAAGTTGCCTTCGCCCCAAGACTTTAGTCAGTTTCGTCCCATAAGCCTTTGCAACTTTGTAAACAAGGTTATTTCAAAAATCCTGGCGAATCGGTTGTCAACAGTGTTGCCAAGTATTATTTCTCCTCAGCAGAGTGGATTTGTTAAGGGCAGGCAAATTTTTGATAATTTCCTATTGGCCCAGGAGTTGGTATCGGATATTCACCGAAAGAATAGAGGGGGAAATATTGTATTCAAACTCGATATGACCAAAGCCTATGATAGAGTCTCTTGGCCATTGTTGCTTCAGGTGTTGAGGAGGTTTGGGTTTGGTGAGATCTGGATTGATATGATTTGGAGGCTTATTTCGAATGTATGGTTTTCAGTAATCATTAATGGGGCCCCTCAGGGGTTCTTCAAGTCTAGTCGTGGTTTAAGGCAAGGAGATCCGATTTCACCGGCTCTCTTTGTGATTAGTGCGGAAGTCCTTTCTCGTCTTTTGAACTCCTTGAGTAGCCTTCGGGGCTTTACGCCTTTCAGAGTTCTAAGGGGTTGTCCACCTGTTACTCATCTTGCCTACGCAGATGATATTATTGTCTTCTCTAGTGGTTTGCGGCAGTCTGTGCGGTTGGTGATGAAGGTGCTGGATGCTTATGTTTCAGTGTCAGGACAACAAGTAAATTTGCATAAGAGTTGCGTCCTGGCTCATGCCAAATTTCCTGGGAGCAGAAAGCGGTCTATCGCAGAGATGACAAGTTTTCAGGCCAAGGAGTTTCCAGTCAAATATCTGGGTTGTCCTTTATATGCAGGACGGAGGAGGAGATGCTACTTTGCAGGGGTTTGTGCCTCGGTCTCAAGTAAAGTGTTGTCATGGAAAGGGAGGCTTCTCTCGCATGGTGGTAAGTTAACTTTAATCAAAAGCGTGCTTTCTTCTATGTCGCTTCATACACTCGCTGCTGCGACCCCTCCAAAGTCAATCCTTAACGGGATGGAGCGCATTTTTGCTGATTTTTTATGGAGCTCCTCAGAGGTTCGACCACGCTTCCATTGGATTAGGTGGGATCAGTTGGCTAACTCGTATGCAAAGGGGGGTGCTGGCTTGAGATCCCTTAGGCATGTGTATGATGCCTTCTCAATGAGATTGTGGTGGCATTTTCGGTTGTGGCAATCGTTGTGGGCTGAGTTCATGCATTGTAAATATTGCCCCAATCTATATCCTAGCTTTGCTGATACTTCTCCCGGGGACTCCTGGACATGGAAGAGAATGGTGGCTATCCAGGGGGTAGCGGAGCAACACATCCACTGGAAGTTGGCTAGGGGTAGCGTGAGCTTCTGGCATGATAATTGGTTGGAGACTGGCCCATTATGTATGGAGGTGGATACTTTTCAGGAGTACATGGTATCGGATTTTGTTGAACATGGTTGTTGGAATGTACAACGGCTAGGCATGGTGCCGCCTAGCGGATGGGTGGGGAGGATTTTGGGAGTTGTGCCCCTCTCGTTGGACTAGGCGGATACCATGGTTTGGGCTCCTAGTATCTCTGGTGTCTTCTCTTTAGCATCTGCCTACCGGATTGCTCATGAGGGTGGAAATAGCTCTTGGCTTTACTCACAGTTTTGGCTACAAGAGTTGCCGATAAAGATCTCTTTTTTCATGTTGAGATTGATAGGGTCCCGTTTGCCGGTGATGAAAAGGTTGCATAAACTTGGCATAGTTGGCCCATCTCGTTGTGGTTGTTGCTTGTACCCAGCTCAAGAGTCTTTGGATCATATTTTCTGTACCGGAGAGGTGGCAAAGAGGATTTGGGGTTACTTCGAGGGGGTGGTTGGAGGGTTTCAGGAGTCCTTTACGATACGTCACAAGTTGGTTAGCTGGTGGTTGAGGCCTTCTCGGAACCCGTATCTCCAGTATCTTTTTCGTTTACTGCCGTCCTTGATCTGTTGGCATTTGTTGAAGATGCGGAATTCGTTTGTCTTTGATGGCCACCACACGCCCATGGTGCATGTGTGTTCAGCAATTTTTGGGGATCTCAGGGATATTTTCCACCTTAAATTTAAACGCCTGGCTCTCTCTGTTTATGATTGGCTGGGTTGGTACGGGATGGTGGCTGGCCTACAGAGGGTGGTCAGGACCTTGGTTGTGCGGTGGAGCTGCCCAGCGCACAATATCATCAAACTGAACTCGGATGGATGCTCTCGGGGGAACTCGGGAGTGAGTGGAGGTGGGGGGTGCTTAGGTGCTCGGAAGGAAGGTTTATCTTGGGGTACTCATGTTTCCTTGGGGAGATGACAAGTCTACAGGCTGAATTGAAGGCGTTGATTTTTGGTGTTAGGTTGGCTATTGACCGTGGGTATTCTAATTTACAGTTAGAATCTGATTCATTGGTTCTGGTTCAGATCCTCCAAGGGAAGTCTCGATGTCCGTGGCGGCTGCAAGGGGATTTACAGGACCTGTTAAAAGTCAAAAGGTTCGTCAGAAAGGTATCACACTGCTTTCGGGAAGCGAATAAACCGGCTGACCGCCTTGCAAACATTGGAGCAGACTCAGGGACGATTCTGACGTACGATTCTTTGCGGGAGTTGCCTCGCTTGGTGAGGGGGGATTTCATTCTTGATCAGATGGGGGTCCCAAGTTTGCGTAGAGTTAAAGTGTAAGAGTTTCCTAGCGCTTGGGTTTCTAACATGTATCCCATCCTTTTTATGAAATAAAGTAATATTTAAAAAAAAAAAAAGGGTTTGCTGCTCATCAAGTAATTCATCATTGTAGAGCTGCTAACTTACAACCTTAATGGCGTATGTGCTAGTAATCTGCCGGCTTGGGACCTCGGGCACGGACGGTTAGAAGTCCTACAACACAAACCTAGGAAGAGGTGGGGTTTAATCTCTTCGTGTAACTCCAATGCTTAAGTCAATAAGAGCTCAAAGCAAAATGAAAGCAAGTAGCCAAAAGGAGAAACGAACAGCTTCCCCTTCTTCAGAAATGTGAGTGGTATTTATACTAGGGGTTAGGAGAGAGAAATAGGAGACAAAATCTAACATCACAGTCTGAATGGATCGAAGGTGTCAAAACTGGTACAAACAGCTAGTGAGTGGAAAGCAGCGTCTAACAGGGGTCACGTCAAAGAACCCTCCCAAGATAGTCTTGGATGACCGCTCAGGGGCTTCGCGTCTTTAGAAACGCTAGTAGTTCGGGTGGAAGGAAACCACTCATTGCAGGAGAGCTCGGCCAGGTTCCCTCAAATGGCAAATTTAACAATCTCTTTAAGTCAACTATCTCTCAAAGTTAAAAAAAAAAAAAAAAAAGTTTGGTAATTGTAAAAGCACTTCATAGATTTAAGGAAAAAAAATAAAAGAAAAGAACTTCATAGATCTCGATGGGTTAAAATTTAGTATATGAACTTCATATAAACATAGAATAGCAAAATTAAAGAATTGTGAATAATGTTTCTTTTCTCTGTTGAAGACAAGCAATGTTTCTTTTATCTATCTACACCTTAAAAAACCAAAGTTAACTATTGATTAATGTTGCAGCTCATACGCATCTATTGTGTAATTGCTGAAGAAGGGTGTCCGAGGTTAATAAGTTGTCATCCAATCACTAAAAATCTTAACAAGATTCAATATCCAATCTATCAGAAGGTTGTAGGAAATTGATAAGTAATTGAAAACCATTATTCTTTTTAATCCTGTAATTTTGATAGCTAGGAAAAAAAATAAAATGAACTAATGTTTTATTTGACTAGAAATGTGTAAGAAATGGAGGTTAATGATGCCTTGCACCAAAGAAGTCAAAAAGAGTACATGACGGATGAAGAACGAACCAAGTGGTATTTAATAGTCCAATTTCGTATGTACTACTTCATTGTGTCTAGTATAACCTTGAAATTTGAGGCTGATTGAACATAGTAACAATTGTTTTTCCAAATTGAAATTACAAATTGTGAAAAGTAAAGGCATTTCGAAAGAAAATTTCAATGGACTTGAGATGGACTCAAGAAGAACTCGAAGTTGATGCTTGAAAGTATTACACCTCGGGGCAGGGAGGAGGTAGGGGAGAGTCGAAACCAACGCTTCTAGTTTTTGACATTTGAACCACAAACCATTCCTAGACAAATTTGGTTGGCTTAGTTCTATAACGGTTTTGTGGCTAGTCAAGACATTGTAGCTGCTTGCGGATTTTTTTGCCTTTTTGGGTGGCGGCAAGTCAACCAATTCCATTACATCCAAATTGGGCTTTATTGATAAATGTTATCAGGCTAGTTTGGTTCACTTTGGCCTTCGGCTTACATTTATCTCACAATCACCACCTTGGTTGTCGTGCTTATGTGTTGGTCGAAATTTATTGGCTGGTTGTGGTAAATGGGAATACTAAAGGTGTCCTTGGTTTTGAATTCCACAGTATAGTCGCCTCTGTGTATTATTAAAGCTACAAACTACAACAAAGTAGCTGCAAACTGCAACAAAGTAACATGTGAATGAAGCCACAAGAAGACATCTAGTCAATGCCCAACAAGTAAGAGAAGAACACAAACTTGCAAACATTTATTATCA